AAACGAAATAAAGTATATATTAAAAAGGGGAGGAGTTTAAGCAGAATTTATGTTCTATTCTAACATTTTTATTAGGTTATTTAATGATTTCGTTCTCTAGAATTTTCAATTTTCTATAATTTCAGCTAACTTGAGTCATAAATTTATCCTGAAAAATTTCAGACGTTTCGTACGAATGGGGCCAACAATAATTATAAAAAATGTTATAATAAAGGGATTGGGCAATGGATATAGGTTACTTGTGTTCTATCCTTCACTTTCATTTGGTATATTTATGCATATTTACAGTATTTTCTAAATGGTTGCTCTTTATATTCCAGAATTTTTTGATTACAGGAGTCATAACCGAACGTTAAGACAATTATGTAATTATATAAATCTCGAAGTGCAATTAAGTTGAACTCTTCTACTTGTTCTAAACATCTAGCGATGTTCAATAAATGTGAAAAAGAAATTCGATTACTCTAACTGAAGGAAATTGGACAGTTGGGAGCAGATAAGCAATGATTGCCATCTCTAACTTCTGTTACAGCCGACGACAGTGAGATTTTGGCGGAAGAAAGACGCCTAATCTACTTAGGAGTTTCTGTGTTCACACAACAAAGAATGACTTTCAGTGGGGTTTCTGATAGAATAAAGGCTGTTGTGAGTGAAACCTCACAGCCTCTGACGAATTTTAACTCGAAGAAAATTAACTTCTTTAGTAAAGTTTGCCTTTGAACACAGTATGATTATATTACAGATACTTGCGACGATGAAGTGTTTAAATCTTTACAGACGTTAAACGGTTCATTTTTTGATAAATGAGTTAAGTGTTCCACTTTTAAAACAATCATTTTATACCGAAAATTATTTAATAAAGTTATCAATTTCTTAAACTACATTCTCAACTTAATATACGAAAAATNGATATCATTAGCTACTTATTGAGTAATGAATCTTAATTGAATTTTTCAATATTATTCACTCTCTTCCTTCCTACACGTTATTAAATTTTTTAATTTCCTGTTACGTTTGTTAATTACCGTAAACGAAATGTTACTGTATAATTAAAAAATTATGCTTGGTTACGATAAATTCGTATATAAAATATTGTGTAAATATGTCACACTAGTAAATGATTTTAAATGTTTCTAAAAAAATCCAGTTAAGTACTGTACAGAGGGGGAAAAAAGAAAAAAAAAACATTACAGAGAATCCAAAAATAATTTAATTTGTTTTTGTTTACTCTCTCTCTCTCTCTTTTTTTTTTATAAGGAAATTTTTATTATCTACGACTTCGTTTCCTTTATTTTTATGGAATTTATGCCAAGTTCTGATACAGTTCTGAATGCACTTACGAAAAAAAAGCATCTTGTACTTATTTTTTTATATTACTTTGATATTGTAGATCTTTTTAAACTGCATTATAACATGACAGAAATACATTAGGTACTGTACAGTACTTCTACTAATAAAAGCAGTAAAATAATAAATAAAAAAAGTGAAACTATATAAGTTAATCACGCTATCGAAGTTGTATTATGTATTTTTTTTAAAAACTATTCTATTTTACTTTAATATCTTTATATCATGCAAAAGTATGGGTAATAAAAATATATTTTCTATAAATTATAAGTCGCTTAGTATGAATTTTATAGCTTAATAATATTTAAGAACTATTTTACATTATGTCGTTATACTTCAAATCATTTCAAAATGCGATTAATAATCAAATCTAAAAATAAAAAAATAAAATCACTTTTTTAAAGCTTATAATCGTAAATTTATTGAAAATTTACAACTAAGATGAACATAATTTCGAAGATTTTTTTTAAAACTTGCAACATTTTTTGTAAGATAGACACCATAAATTTCATGAAATCTGTTTGTTTTTTTGATTATTTTTAAGAGTTTTACGTTTATATTCACAATTTCTTTAATAAATAAATATAAATAATCGATAAATTTTCAACAATTTATTGAAAAACATGAAAGTTTCGTATTTAAACATATATATGAAGATATAAGAGTTAAGTTTAATTATAAATTTATTAAATTATAAAAATTTAGAATAAGATAAAAATTGTTTTCAATGGCTTCTATGAATTTTATATTTATAGTTAAAAAAAATAAGAAAAAAATTAAAATATAACACTCATATTTATAGTGTCATATATTTACGTGTTCTACCTGTAATAAAAGTAATTTTTTTCTCCTCACGAAAATGAATGTGTTAATTTGTTTAAACTTTTAATTCTCTGTTGAAATGTACGCTTTTATATCAGATTAAAATAGCTATTACACTAAACAACTGTAACAGCAAATTAAAAAATAAATAATTAATTAATTAAACTGTAAAATGAGTACATTTTTATACAACTTTTTGATGAAAGTAATCAGGCTTTTTACAAATTAAAGCACTCCTTAGAGAATTTCATAAATTGTAAACAAAATTCAATAGTCTAACTAGAACAAAAGCTAACTAAACATTAGAATTCAAAGAGTGAAAATTAAATTAAACAGCGTTACAAAATGGCTTCAATTTACTAATTGCTATTTGAAAATCATACAGAGCAAAGAAAAAAAAAAACAATTTAAAAAATGCATTTAACAAACGAAAACACGTATTCTAATTAAGAGTTTACTTATTTCGATTGTTTAATAAATCTTAATTAATGGACTGACCTCGTTTTAACGTCGTCTTCGAAATCATCTCTTGAGAAAGTACAGTATTAATCCAAAAACAGTGATTTTATTTGTGAATTAACGCAAAATCTTATGGAATATTTTAAAGTATAAGAATTATTTTTAGCGAATTAAGTTACTTATTAAAATATTTGAGAGTCTGTAAACACGTTAATTATATTTAAATTCACTTTCTGATAATCTTAAAGCAACAGACGAATCTTCATCTATAGCAAACAATGAGATGATTGATGAGGCTTTCTTCATCCGAATGGACATCTGCAACACATTAGTGCACTTCTACACTCATTTACTACTATTTTACTTTATCTTCTTAAGGTTTTCAGACAGTTATGATTAATTATATCAATAATATGTCGTTTGAGATATTTTAAAGTTTGAAAAGAGATTCTGAATTACAAAATGAATATTTTAAAGATAGTAGTTTATTAATATAAAAATTATTACATGATTTACATTTATACATGTTAAGTATTATGTGACATACATATATATGATTTACTCTTAGTGTTTAAGGGGGGAAACTGTAAATTTTCAGTATATTTATTTTACTTAAATCATAAAACGTGCAACAGTTTAACAGAAAATAGATTTATTTTTCTGGTATTATCATCGATATTCACTTTTTCACCACAGTTTGGGATTATTCTGGATTTGAAGATGACATATTTCTTTATCCTTTCTCGTATATCAATTTTCCTCATGAGTTTTGTTATCCTAGATATTTATTTTCTTATTTTTTGACACATTATTTTTATATTTCTTTGAAAATTATCATACAATAAAAAACAAACTTTAATGAATAAAACAATTATAAAAAATTAAAAATGATATCATTCGCTACTTATTGAGTAATGAATCTTAATTGAATTTTTCAATATTATTCACTCTCTTCCTTCCTACACGTTATTAAATTTTTTAATTTCCTGTTACGTTTGTTAATTACCGTAAACGAAATGTTACTGTATAATTAAAAAATTATGCTTGGTTACGATAAATTCGTATATAAAATATTGTGTAAATATGTCACACTAGTAAATGATTTTAAATGTTTCTAAAAAAATCCAGTTAAGTACTGTACAGAGGGGGAAAAAAAGAAAAAAAAAACATTACAGAGAATCCAAAAATCAAGTAAGAAGTCCCAACAAAGTCTAAATGGGTTTTGTAGATATAATGGAACACGAAACGCCCTCCACCATGTCACATTTCGCGTCACGTAAGGTTACTTTATCACTTTCATCGATGATATCAACTTTTTACGGATTTCTTTACTTTATAAAATTAGTTTTTATCAATGTAAAAAGTGAAATTTAAGTATAGAATAAAGAAAATATTAATATTTTCCACTTACTCTTGCGAGATTTTAATGCCAATTCGCTACAAGTTAAGATCATAATCTGTAAAGTTATGCCTAAATCTGTCATATATACATCAAAAGTTAGGAAGACACAAGAAAGAAAAGAGGGGGAAAAAAGAAAAGAAAACAGAAGAGAGTTTGATGGGATGAAGAAACAAATGGACATGAGAAAGAAACAAGGAAAAATGAAGAGACACTAATGGGACAGAAGATAGGAGAATCAGGTGAGACAGAATAAGTTCGAGTTTAGACTCAGAACTTGTCTTCAACTAAAAAAAATAACAATAAATTCTTTTTTTAAAAAAGAATATTTAATGCTTTAAATATCTAAAAAAAATAAAAAAATAAAATCACTTTTTTAAAGCTTNAGATTTAGTTTGAGATATTTACATAGAAAATTGTAATTTTCTATGTAAATCTCAAACTAAATCTTAATTTACGTGTTATAAAACAGTAAGATAATTATATTTACTAGTGTTTTGATTAAACATTGTATATATTATTATAATTTAAATATAAAAGAATTATCTTAAAAATAGAAAAAAAATATGTTTAAACTTCATAAAAAATAAACAAATTTACATAAAATTTTATCGATTTTATTCATTTTTTAAAAATAATTTACACATTATAATGCATAAATTATGATAATTTACGAATATGCAAACATTAATATAATATATTTTAATTTTTATTAAAATTATAAAATAAATTCTCTACATTAAAATTTAATCTTTTAAATATGATAACACATAATAAAATTAATAAAAATGACGAAAATTAATTTCACTCAGCTATAAAATAATTGGATAAAAATAAATTTTCGGTTTGCTTTGAAGTTATAGATAATGATTTTTAATTAAATTAATGCTAACGAAAAGGGAAAGAATAAATAATCAACATTTAAAAAAATTGAGAATTAAAAGAAAAATAAATGAATAAAAGAGATACTCACCCGTAAAATAAGAGGATTTTACTATAACTTTATACGGTTAGTTAGACTCTCACTTCATTTTTTCCCCCAAGAAAATAAATCCCACATAGCATGACTCTCTTCCAAATTGGTTACGAATGAAGTGAAGCTCAGACACCAAAACAAATTACACTCTTTGTATGTGTGCGCATGTGTGAATGTAATTGAACTTGGCGTTATTATCATTGGCATATTGAAAGAGTCAGTAGAAAGAAACAACGATAATTCAAAGTGAGATAGGTGAAAAGTTAATTAAATATTCTTAAGTTACACACGAAACTTTCTTCCCTATTTTAACAAATATTCAACTTTTCTTAAATATAAACTCGACTCCAATAACAAACAACCGTTTAATTGCTAACTTCGGCAATGGTTCTTTTGAAAATTGAAATTAATTGTCGTTTATGTTATCAGAACCGTTAAAGTTAACGGTGAAAATTATTCAAAACTTGAAATCGTTAATTTCAACTTTTATTATTAACGATACGGAATAATAATAATAATAAAATTACGTAATTTATTATTATTATTTCTTTAATTATAAAGGGTGATGTAGTAGAGCTTTATGAACTCGACTAATCCTTCTGCTGTTATGACTCAGCCACCTTAAGGCACCCCCGGAACAATTTGATGAACGCGGGAACTATAAGGTCACTTGTTGAGTCGTGGGATAAATTATACTTTGTCCGGCAGGATAATTAAACAAATGGCCCATTCCTTTAGGAAACTGCTTTGCTATCGTCTATTTTCCGAATTTAATTATATTCACTTAACAAAAAGCTCTTCTTTGTCATCCCTCGCAACTGATGATAAATCACCACCTTGATGTTGTCATCTGTCTTTTTTTTATTGGTAGCTTTTTAAAATGTCTGCTGTTAAATCCTATCACTATTTAAAGAAATTGTTCTTAAAAATTTCCACTCAGAATAAATACAAGTTTCTTTATAACTTTTATCTAAAATTTATGGCCATGCTATTGAATCTATTTATATATTGGTCCATCAAATAAATTTTTTAAAAATGTATCAATATAATTAACCGATATTTTGTTTAATAATTACAATTATATATACAATACAATAATAAAATTATAGAAATATTCGATATGAAATATACTAATTAAATATACATAAACATTAGTTGAAATTGGACATTACATAATCCAGATTCAAAAGAACATGTGTGATGTAATACAAAATGTGTGGAGATCTGAAATATTTGCCTGTTATATAACTTGTTTTTGTCTATAAATTTGATTAATCTAATTAAAAGTCGACAAGAAACTCTACGAGGAACATCCGTCACAAAAAGGAACCGTACTTCCATGGAACACGACTCATCGACATGACACACGCAATGACAAGCACTATTAGTAAGCATCAAAAACTGAATCGCCAATGGAGGAGAACAAATCTCCTCAAATTTGGAATATTCCAGGATGCGATTACTGGACGAGAGTTTCTCGTAAAAAGAAAGCAAGAACAGTGTGAGAGTCGATCAAAGAGAAATCAAGACGAATCGGGTGGATCCAAAATGTGGGATGAAGTCCCCACATCTTGGATCCACCGTCCATCACCAGCAGTAGCCAAACCAGCTAGCCCTTAGACCCCATGGACGTATGGGAGCACTGGCCACAGGGCAGAGGGGATTAATTTTCTTGAAATTTTACACAAATAAAATCACGAGTACCAATTTATAATTAGCCATTACTGAACATTTGTTAACCTTTTTATTTTCTGTCTTATTTTATTTATTTATTTATTATTATTTTGTTCTTGCTTTGCTTGAATTTTTCCACTGTTTTGAACGAATTTGGAAGGGACAGTTGTCAGTGGAGTAAATATAAATTTTAAAGAATTAGGTGTATGTGTTGTCATTCTGTATCGAGATTTGTGTGACATTCACCTTTAAACAAGACGTGTCACAAATAATTGCGAAGTTCTCATAGGCCAATCGATCAGGCCTGACCGTGTTCATAAAAATCAAATTGATAATTCTCATAACTGTATGAAATATACATAATACATTCAAACACAAACAAACATGGATGTACTGTACTCTTAAATAGCACATTCATATATACAAGAGAATGAAGATTAGGACTACAGCTATAGCCACAAAACAAACATGTTATCACAAGACACACACAACAATAGGCTGCATATTAGCAAACTTGTGTACCTACATAAACACAGAATCTGCGTACAAACACACACATACACATAATATATATATATAGTGCCAGAAGAAGATATTGTAGTAGAATACAGAATACAATACAGTAGTCGAAACCTTAATAATCAATAAGAAGGTAACGTGAAAACACGTCATTCTCTCATAAAATACGTATATTTATGACGATAGTAATGAGTGATATTTAAAACTTTATGTAGAAATTGCCCATTTATAGAGAGGCATTTAAATGGAAACGTTTTTAAAAGTTATTTTAAACATTAACTGACAAAAAAGTTTTAAAAATATTTATCATTTATTGATCAGCTTTTATAATAAATAACAAAGTAATAATTTCATAATTCAAACTATGTACAAAATTTATATATATATATTTATAAATTTAGCGATTTTATTGACATTTCTAGTGTTTCAGAAATATAAATTCTCTTAATTCATTTAAATTATTGAAAATTTATTGATTGACAGAGGAGAAAAAGGTGCATAGAGAGAAATCTTTTCTCATTGAAACTGTACAGAACTGGCTGATAAATTTTTATGTTTTCCTTCAGTAGGGTCAGTGTTTCCACTTTTGTCACGAATTTTATGTCTTTCTGTCAACCAAATCGTTTTATCTTCGAGTCTAAAGCTATCATTATAGTCGTTGTTGAGCAATGACACGAAGTATATTGTTTAACGTCAAATCCTTATCGTTTATAATGGAAGTTTATAAAATAATACTTCATAAAATATAATAGGCCCCGTCATAAAAATCAATATTCTTCTTATTTTTTTTAAAGCTATTTGTTTCTTTATTACTTTATCAAAATAAACTTCTAGAACCGATATACTGTTTACGGGACTATAATAAACTATGGAATTTTCAAATAGAAATTTTCATCACAGAAAATGATGATACTCTATAAAAATATCATCTATTGATTATTAAAATAATATTAATATTTACTAATTAATTATAGAAATTAAATTTTTCAGTCAACTATAAACAGCGGCTCGATTCTTCAACCATTTTTCAAAATCCATTAAAAAATTATAGTATAATTTTTTTTTTCATAAAAGTAAAATTAATTAATTTTATTCAATTTTTTTAAATGATTTTCAATTTTTATTTACTTATTTTTTTATTTTTGTAACGCAATATACGCTAAATTAATGAGCTTTGTACAGCCAAAACTTAGAAAGAAACCAGTGATAAAATCAATAAAACACTTGTAATTATCATTAAATGACTGTTATTAAGTAGAGAAGATGGAGAACTCGAATGTAGAGGACCAAATTGAATGCATTGAGAATCATAACTCTCTCTTTCTTTACCTAACGAATCTACAGCGATTAAACATAATTGATATTCGATTCCTGTATTTAACTTTTCAATTGTGTATTCTCTATGATGATAAGATATGTTCATTTCTCTTGGCAATTCTCCTTGATTTCCACTCAATTTTGCTTTAAATCCTGCAATATCCTCTTTAGAATTGACGTACCAAACGAATCGAACTTTCTTCTCTTTATCTTTCGTTTCTATACCTCGATATATCAAATCCGGATTGATAAATTCGTCTTCTGAAAATTTAACATCTCCCAAGCACTGTAAACGTTCTTCGTTAATTTCATTTAATAATTTATTGGCTAAATTTGATGGTTGGTGGCACATGACATTTCTCCATTCCGATGAATTCGAATGTTTACGCATCCAATACACGAGCCGCTTTAATTTACAGTCGCAATTTAACGGATTACCTGAAAAAAATAAATAAATTTATATCATATACAATATTTTGAATTATTTTTAGAAATATTTGCATATAAATTTGTAAATTAAATTCGAATCTTAATTAGTATTGTTTTTAATTATCTATACTACCACGCGAGGCGCTTTATATGTCAAATGGTTATCCTCACGTGATGTAAAAAAGCCAATTAAAAAAGAACGTGTACCAAGTAAGATTTCTAGCGCCATCTCGTATTCGATTTTAGTGATATATTTTATTTTATTTAAAACTTTGAATAATGAAAAATATATTAATGCTTTATATAATTAGAGTAACTTTTGAAAATTAAATAAATATGAAAATATAAATAAATTTTAACAAAAAATAAATGATAGGTAACTATAAAATTTTTTTCCTGTCGCCTAGCGACTACTCTGCTGCCATCTTTGAAGAGAAATAATTACTATTAGACTACTTTTTAAACTATTACTGAATAAATACAGTGATATATATGTACTTAATTTTTCTTTATTTCATACTCATTAAATTTTAAGACAAAGAAAAAAATGAAATAGTAAAGTGTTATCTTTCTAATATTATTTTTCTCAGAATATGCATTGCATCTATTATGCTACAATTACTCCTTTAAAAATGGCAATTTATTCTTAATTGATTTGTATAAAAACATAATTATTGTTTTAAAACATTTAAATATATAGTTTTAAACAGCTTTTAAAAAATTGATTATGGATTTTATAGTCTAAGCTCTTTGTAACACAAAAAAAGATCATATAAGTAAAATAAGGAAGGACTTTTATATAAGTAAAATATAAAAAAATTCACAAAAATTTCTTATAAAATCTTCATACATTTAATTTAAAATATTGTTTTATAAATATTTAATAGTCAAAGTCAATATATTTATTTATTTTCATGAATTTGCAACACGCGGGACATCACACGAATCTCTAAATGGCCATTATTTTACTTTATAATTTATATATTTAACTAGTTCTTATACAACATTCTATTATGTAAAAAGCAAAACTTTCTTAGTTACATTATTCTCTAGTAATTTCTTATTGAGTTATAGAGCGTGACAGACAGATAATATGGATAGTTCTTTTTATAAATAGACTTACTGATAATAAATTTATAATTTACAAGGAATTTATTTAAAAATAAGTTCGTTTAAAAGTTAAAATGAAACTTTATATAATTAAATTTGAAAAATATACAGTACTCACCTTCGTAAAAGAGTCGAAGGCCATTCTTTATGGGAGGAAAAAATTCTTCGTGAAATTCAGTAAGCTGATTATTGCTCATGTTAAGAATTTGTAAATTCGCCATCTTCAATAAGTCATGGACGTATATAGAATAGAGTTTATTGTTCTGTAATTGAAGCACAGTCATGTTTTCTATCATACCAAAAATGGAAGGAGGTAATCTTGTTAACTGATTATATGATAAGTCTAGTTCTTGGAGTTGGGTCATATTTTTCAACACGTTAGGAGTTATTTCATTAATGATATTATTTCTTAAATTAAGCACTTCAACTTTTTTCAATCCGTCATCAAACGTTTTCGTAATAATCGGAATAAAGTTATTACTTAAGTCGACATATCTGATCTTGTAAGGGATGTAAGGTGATCTTGGAAATGTTCGATCCGTAACTCCAGATATTCTGTTATTGGATGCATTAATAACTTCTACAGATAATAAACTTTCAAATAATCCATGAGTTTTATTTTCTAAATTTGCTAGATTATTATAAGACAGATCTATTTTTCTTAAAGAAACTAATCCTTTGACTGCATCGGGTGGAAGAGTTGTCAATTGATTATGGCTCATGTTGAGTACCAACAGCTGCAACATGCCTTCAAAAGCATTTTCGCTAACGTTATTGAGCCTATTATAATCTAACCGTAAATGGAACACAACTGGTAAATTACCAAAAGCTTTTTTATTTAATTTTGTGATATTGTTATTGTGAAAATATAGATATTGCAAAGCGCTAAGATCCTTCAGAGCCTGCCAGGGTATTACAGATATGTTGTTGTGGCTTAACGATAAAGTTTGCAATGTTAGCAAATTAGAAAATGCTCCACCTTCTAATTTGTTAAGCTTATTATTATCAAGATATAAGTGAAGTAATGAATTCATTTGTGGAAACGATCCCGGACGTATGTGAGAAAGATTGTTATGCTCTAGATGTAGTTCGTTCAACGCAATAGGAACAGTAAACATCTTTCTAATGTTATTATGATGTGCATATAAAGTTCGTACTGATACAAGACTAGAAAATCCTGAGGAACTCACTTCTGAAATATTATTGTAGCTGACATCCAACTCTAATAGAGTAGGAAGAGCACCAAAACTCGAGTATCCTACTTTACGAATTTGGTTATGATGAAGCAAGATGAAACGTAAACTTGCAAATTTCTCAAAAACGCTTCCACTGACCTCAGTTATGTTATTGTAACTCAGATCTACAGTATGCAACTCGTATAATCTCTTCGGAGTAAACGATTTTCGATTCAGTGCAGTTATCCTGTTGTAGCTTGCATTAAATATTTTAATCCCCGTTAAGTTAGTAATCAACACTTTACTCAAGTCTTCGATTTGGTTGTGATGTAATAATAAAATATTAACGTCACTAATTTCGAAAGCTTCGTTGGGTATTTCAGTTATATTATTATATGAAAGATCAAATACAGTAACGTTTGATAATTCTGTAAATGCTCCCTTTCCTATGTAACTAATCTTGTTATGGCTCATGTCGATGAATACTTGATACATTTTATAAAAAGCTGCACTGGCTATTTTTGATATTTTATTATGACTAAGATCTAAAACTTCAAGCCAATTGAAGTCTTTAAACATCTCGTAACCGACATCTTCGAGAAGATTACCCTCTAAATCAATAGTTCTTAAGCGTGTTGCTGATGCAAAAGTCCTTCTTGCAATAGTCTTGATGTTATTGCCACGCAGGTATATATCCCTCAAAAACCTCAAACCTCTTAACATGTACGCATCCATACCAGTTAAATAATTATTAGATATGTTTAGGACCCTTAACATAACATTTCTCACGAACATAGATCTTGGAATGGTATCAATTTGATTATTTGAAACGTTCAAAAACCATAAGTTTGTAAGGTCACGAAAATCATTTTTATCGAGTTTTGTAATGCTGTTATAAGACATATCTAAATATTTTAGCTTGATTAACAGTCTAAATGAATTTTTTTCGATGGTAAATATGTTGTTGTGATGAAGATGAAGCCTTTCTAAATGCCTTAAACCATTCAAACTTCCAGGTTCCATCTTGATTATTTTGTTATTATTCAAGAAGATCTCTACTAGTAGAGGCAATGGTGCAAATGAATTTGCTGTAACGATTTGTATCTCGTTATGTGATAAGTTAATAACTTTTAAATTTTTTAACTTCTGGATGGCTGCAATTGGAACCCATTCCAACTTATTGTAAGAAAGATCAAGAACATTCAGAGATTCATTCAAAGAAGTGAATACATCATCACTCAATTCAGTAATCCCATTATTTCTGATGTGAAGATCATTTACACTTAAATTATCGAAGATATCACCAAAGAGTTTACTCATGGCACAATTCTTTATAGTTAACTGCTCAACGGGTAATTCTATATTGTTAATTCCGACAGCTAACATTGCCAAATTTGCTTTCTCGCATTGTATCACTAATCCTTTCTGCTTCCCCGAAACACATTTACATGGATATATAAAATATTGATCGGTAGGACATTTATAGGTAATAGTTGGAGGAGTTGTTCCGTCCTCTTCCGTCCAAATTCCAGAAACAGTAATGATAATGATGATGTATATCAGCAGAATCATTTTCAATATAATTCTGAAATATAAAAATAATTAAATTTTAATTAATTATGAAAGTATAGAATAAATTAATATGATAGTGATGCCTCCCCTTAAAACTAAACAATGAAGCTGTTCTTTGAAGTTTTTACGATGCTCCTTTAGTATTAGAATAATAAAATATAAATTAGATTATTTAATAATTAAAATTAATAAATTTAAGAAAGAGAAAATTATTATTTAATTTTTAATTTAAAGATAAATACAACAAAAAACACTAAGTACTGTTCAGCACATTTAATTAAAAAAGTAATAATGATAAACATACCTTCTGTTCGTAAATTGGGTTTTTGCCTTCTTTATTATTATCGCAAATAGTAAAATAACATATAATTTATAACATAATTCGCAGAATATTTAGAATATTTTAGCGTATATTCGGAAGGATGGTTCAAAGATCTGCATACAAAACAGACACCTAATACATGCACTTACGATGCATGTGCACACATTAGAAGCATTAAAATGTTCTCGTAAGGGAGGAGAATGTATTTATATGTTCATTTAATTAAATGGTATTCACATAAATCATATTCTGTAACTTATAAATTAAGTCCACTGTATATGCATGGAGAATTTGGAATCATTTTGTGTAAGGCTTTCTTAATAATTCGAACACTACAGTTTAATATAAATGAATAAAATAATTATATAATTCCTATAAATGCCTTTTTTTTAATGGTTAATTCTCCATAAATTTATATACATCAAGGATTCTGAATAGTTTTTATAAATGATTTAGAAGAGTATGGCTTTCATGGCTATCATTTTGTTTCGTAAGAATAAACAGGAAGTATTTTATAATGCCTGACATAATGTATTCTTTTATAAAATGTATACATAAACCAAATACAAATATAAATTTATAAACATTAAAAAATATTAAAAGTTCGTTTTTTAAGTTCCTGTTACGAAGCACTTTGTGGTACTTTGTGTAATAAATTTGAAAATTCGTAGGTTCTAGCCTTAATAACTCGGAAGATTTAATAATTGAAGTTGATACAGACAAACGGACAAACTCGCAAGGTTAAAGCAATAATCAATTTTTGTAATATAAAAATTTTTTTATATTAAATATTGAAATTTAATTAAAAAAATTCGATTTTAGTTTTTAATTAAAATTGTTGCGTGATTTTTTTACTGTTTTTAAATGGTTTTTGATCGATTTTAAGTATAAAAATTAATTAATTTAACGGATAAGTTAAACGATTTAAATATATTAAAAAGAATAATAATACATTTTTATAAATAAAGGTTTTTTTTGGAATAATTTTCACGTGATGATTATTAACATTTTTATCTTTCATTGATTTATTATTGCTGTAGAATGAATGTTATCATCATTATCAATTATTATATGAGTCGAGTGTAAGGTCAGACAGACTATTTTTTAACATTTAACATTTATTTTATCCTCAATTCGAGAAGCAAAATCATTAAAGCAGTAAAAAATGTCACGGTTGATAATTGACAATCTACAAAATATTTATCCAAAATTGGTAAATGTTTTAACGTGTTTAATTAATTTTTAAACTAGATTAAAATAAAACAAGATTGTATTTTATCTAAACTGATATTTTTTTCTATATATTATCATGCTTTACGCGTGACACTTCGTACCACTCCAATGATTTTCTACCCTTTTAGCAAGGTTAAAGTAGGGAATTTTTAAATATTTGCAACTTATTAATGCTAATAATTTTATGAATATCTAACACTAAAAATACCAAACATAAGTAATGTTGACTGTGTAACAACAATAATCTACGATAAAGAGATGCTGATAATTAAATATCTATCTAAAAGATTTTTATATATTTTAAGCTAGAAAAAATCGAAAAAAAAAACTAAAATTAACTTACCTTTTATGTTATAAATTTTAAATATTATATATTTTTCTCTGTATCTTTCCCTTTTAAGTCATTTTAAATTCTATATTTCTCTATATTAAAATATTTACATCTTCAGGTTTTACCAGTTTGTTTCCTCATTTTCTTCATATTGTTTAGTTACACATACGACATTCAAAGCATCGGTTAACTGATTTCCTTTCATAAATAGGTACAAATTCACAATTCACAAGAGTAAAAACATTTCATAAATTTAAAATAAACTTACAAAATATAATTTTCGTATTGTTAAAAGCACTAAAAATGAAATTTCAAACTTCTAAAATTCACCTTTAATGTAGAAGTACTGTACNTTTTTTAATTAATTTTTATGGGATTTCTTTCTTAAGGATTGATAATGGGAAAGGACACTCAAAAATTCATAGACCTGTAAATAGAATTTATAATTTTGTATTTATTATTGTTATACTGTGTTTACATGTGAAGAAAGTAAATTTACTTACCAAAATGGCAACAAAACAACTCATTCCATAGAGAACAAACAACATTAATGGCACACTCTAAAAGTAAAAAGAAATCTGAATTTATTCTTTAAATTTTTATTAGAAAAATTAAATTAAAAATGCTAGAAAATCATAAAATTCTGTACAATTTTAGTACAGGGTAGTTTTTGTACAATGATTATAAAGACTGAAAAGCGATTGTTTAAGATAAAGAACAGAAATGATAAACATTGACCTCATTGCTCAATCGATTGCTTCATTTTTTTTTTTTTGTTTTTGAGGGAATACGAACGTCTGACCGTAAACATAATTGTTTAAACAATCTACACTACGAATAAGGAGCATCTTAACAACAAAATACAGTATATGAAAATTCTTAAAATGTAAACAACGTTACACAACGTAAACATAATCATAGGGATAGATGCGAAAATCACAAATCGATACGAAATTTTTAGATTATTTGTCGATTTATATTAAAAAATAAAGCAAAAATATTAAATGAATTATATATATACAAATGCTTTATTGTAGTAAGAAAAAATCTTGTTACAGGGGGTTAGCATTAGAGATTTACAAAAAGATAATTAATACTTATTTAACACGTGGACGTCGGATATAATAAGAATCGAATGTTTAATGAAGCAAAAAAAAATATATTCAGGAATAATCTATGAATTATAGTAATTTATAATGTTCTTTTTCTTTTAAAATTTTGCTTCTGGTACAGTTTAATAACAGAATAAATTCTTGTACCAAAGGTATGAAGCTTCAAAGTTACTTAAGTTAATTAAAGTAACTTTGCAACTTCATAATTCTAAATAAAATGTCTGTGTTGTATTGATATTTCTGTTGAATGTTGTGTAATCAACACAAGATTCTGTTACGTTTTATGTTATAAGGAGCTTCAAATGTTGATTAATAGAATATTAATAGTTTATTTTATCTTTCTTTAATATATATTCGAAGTATAACGTACTGTACAATGAATTCGATATCACAGCATCTAATTGATGTTATGGATAAAGTATGTGTAATATTGTTATAAAAATTAATAATTTAGAAAATTTACAAGATAAAAAAGAAATATAAAAAAAAAAAAGGAGAAAAAAAAAAAACAAGTTTAAAATTTGACAATAGAAAGGTTAAACGTAACTCGTTTCCTTGGAATATCTCCAAGGAAACGAATGAAATTAAGCGAGAAAATAAAATTAAAATTAAAAATTTCATGAAATTTGACGTCATCTCACTTTTAGAAAGAGAAAAGCCACATAAATTGTTTTAACCAAATGAACAGCCTTTTAAACTTTAAAAATTTCTTATAAAAATATACAAATTTGGAAGATTTATACTTAAAATTTTTCTTCTATTTAATTATTAATTTAAAAAGTAATAATTAAATATATATTAGACTCCTAATATAATAGTTAATAATATAATTATAATTATCATTTGTTTTTTAACATAAGCATATAGCCTATTAAGTTATATATTTATTATGTAACGCTTTAATTATTAAATCATGCGTAAAATGCTACTTAAGATTAAAATATTTTACAATTTAAAATGAATTTTTTAAAATTTACCCCAGTTCCTCCATCTCTAAGGAAGAGAGACATAAAATTGAGTTTAACACAAGCATCTTGAATGGTTCCAATCATCCAAGGAATCATCAACTTACGACTTTCCTAATAAAAGAACAAATTATGTTTTTATATTTTATATAAATCTATAAATTTTTATTCATTTTGCTTATTTAAATTTTTTTAATTTACCAATTTTAAGGCAATTATTAGAAGAAGCGCTTTAACAAAATATAGGGAACAATGAATGATAGCACCAAGATAAAAGTTTCCTGCAAAATTTAAAAATATTATTTTAAATTTATTTATTAATGATAATATAATTATAAAAAAAAGTTTAAAAACTTACTAGTTACTTTAAAAATGGTTCCATCATTAATTTCATTAATTTGTTTTTCTACTTCTTCAGTGTGAAATACTATGATATATAGTACAGCAATTGCTACAACTTTGATAAACTGTAATATTAAAAACAAATTTATAAAATTAAATCATTAAATTAAACATTATAAATATTTATTAACAGGCGACTTAACAACAAAAATTATTTTAAAAGATTGCACGTTGACAAATATGGAGCAAAGTTCGCCAGTGTGCTCTGAAGTCACCACGCATTGCAATTCAAATTTATCTCAAAGTATATCGACTTTTTCTTCAGAATTTTTATATTATTCTTATTTTTTTTATGTATATTTAACCACAAATTCATTTGTTTAAGTAATAGATTTACAGTATATGAAAATTATAATATTGTCCGTCTATCACGCTCTATTAAATAATTACAAATTTAATTTATATATTGGCATTAAAGGAAATTAACAGTAGCATTTCATAATACCTTTTTAAAAATTTGATACGTCATTTTAAAAGAGAAAAAAAAAAACACATTCCTGCTTATAGCATATGTAGGAATTCATGATAAAAATTAAATAAACTTAATTATAATTACATTCCTTTAATTAATTTACTGTAATTATTTTTAAATTTACGATATATATTTGAATATGAACTGTTATATTACTTACCAAAGTGTATACAGCACAAGCATATGCAGATTTTTTTGTCGAATTACAACCGAAAAAATAGATAGGCTCCATTCCTGAACGAGCAGTTATGATATTAACTCTTGTTTTGCTTATATCATGTGTTACAGTATATATTTATTGCAGCTTATCTTATCTAATTTGTGAACTTAGCACATAAACAAATCATAGGATACTAAAAACCTACACAAAATTAAATTATTTCGCATCAAGCTTAATACATATGATACCAAATTTATGAATAAGATTATATTTTTCTACTTAAATTTCATAAATAACAATGTTTAAACATAGTTTTTATTATAAAATTTTTGATAATGAGTTAACTACAGACGTCTGCTATCTAAAATAATATCTATATTATTCTGGATAACAGACGTCTATAGTAAAGGTCATAATATTGAGGATATCACTGTATTATGTGAGATCCCGGACTATTATTTCTAAAATTTAATGTTTGAATTAAATTAAAAAGTTAAAAAAAAGCTAAATATCGTAGAAATCAACAAGGAAGTTCGTGAGATTTTATCTCCTGACAACGCTAACTTTCGAAATGATACAGTTTTATGGAGCGATTACCCACTTAAAGAAGTTAACAAAAGAAATTCGGGATTGAATGCTAATCGCACTCTCTATCCAATTTTACTAAATTTAGGTATGTCAAAAATTGGGAGAAATGAATTATATAAAAGGGAAGATGACGAAAGGTCGCAGTTCGACCCGAGAGCAATCCGATTTCGCGTCCGAATCGAGATGAAACAAGTGATAGAGATCGTTCTCCCGCCGCCCACTATAGTATTGAGAATTGATAACCGTCTTCAAAGGACCTCTTCTTCTTCTTTGGATGCCCTATCCGTTCTGGATGTTGACTATTCTCATGGCTATCGTACTCACATTGCTGGCTCTTCTGAACGGTTCTAACGATGACACTTCACACCTGTCCCTCAGGTTTCTCAGCCGCGAGATTCGACATCATCCTGATCCTCTTTTTCCAGAGATGTTCCCTTGCATGACAATTTGTAGGATTTGAAACTTGACACCATTTCTCATCACCGAAGTTCCTTTGTTTGACGGTATTGACAAGATCTTGTTGTTTTCTCATTCGTCGCAATAACAAAGGACTTAGTGATTAAAAACTGTATGGATTTACTACGGATAGAATGCCGAATAGTATATATACAGTACGTATCGCGTTTCGGTTTTAATTCTCGACTGATGTCAGAAAACTCCTAAGCCGAGTGCTTGTGTTGCTTTTTCACAATTATAAACAAAGATTTTGCTAAAGATGAATTTAAACATATATACGGAATCTTGTATATTTCATTCTAGAATTAATTATGTATTAATTTAATGTCTGTAATATTAGTTAAAATTTCTCGTTGTTAGTAATCCAAATTGTATTGAAACAAGGTGTGCTCATTTGAGATAGCGAACAGGCATTAAGTACTACCGGAAGTTGATTTACACTTCGTTGCAGCATTTACAGAAAAGATTTCACAGAAGTTAATATGCGTTTCAAAAATAAGATCTTTTCAATTAATTTTCACAAAGATTTCACGATTGACAATTAAGTTTTCGCGAATTCGCGAGTAGTGAAACGCGATTTAGTCAAAAAAATTTTACGAAACACGCGATGTTATTCAGAATAGAAGTGACGGATTTCACAAATTAAAATAACAGGCTTATAATTTTAATAAACGATGCTTTTTGTATACAATATAAAGAATATTTTTACTAAAATTAGTTGAAAAAACTATTTATTTTTCTGAAATAAATGAATAATTCCATTGGTAATAACCTCCAACAGAGACAAAGCTTTTTGTAGAGTTTCCCTCGCAGGAAACGAAACAATCGAACTAAAATTGGAAATAATGCCATAATAATATAAATTCGTTAAATTACACATGATAATAGACATTAATGTTTACTTTACACTCTCATAATGATTAATTTCTACATTTGGTTGTTATAGTGTTTCGGATGGGGGTAAGGCTACTTCTTAAAACATAGTTAAAATGCATTGTCATCGGACTTAGATATGTCCTCAAAGTTCTTTCTTAATTAATAATAATTAATCTTAATTAATAAGTCTTCCATCTTAATTAGAAGTGGTTGAAATTTGAGTCGAAAGATTTAAGGACATGATACAAAGCAATTTAATTTACAAACAAAAAGATGTTTAAGTGGACGGAGATAAATCACAAAATAATAATAATAATAAACACATAACAAAATAATAATAATAATTAACACATAACAAAATAATAAATGTTTTGCATAAATAAAGCAATAGCGATTGTTTTACTCTCAATTCTTTTTAGTTGTAGTAATTTTAATCGATCCACGATATCTATAAGAATATAAGTAGTATAATATTAAAATAAAAATGAAGAAAAATCTTCAAGTAGTTATTATTATTATTTTTTAATGTGGTATATTTTAATTAATGTAAATAATAAATAAATTTCGAAGTTGTAGCACTAAATTATAGTTTATTGCTTCAAAATTTTTGAAAAATTGTTTATAAAATAAATTATATTGCTTAAAAACTTAAATAATAAGATATAATTTTCATATTCAACTAAATAAGAGAGAATTGATTTACAAAAATTTTAACTTTATTCTTTTGAAAAATACAGATTAAAGTTAATTTCATGAATTTAAATCATCCATAAAACACGAATTTTATACATGAATCAATATAAATCTTCATTAATATCATCTTAAGAATTTCATAAATAATAAATTCTAACGAAATTTTTTAGTGAATTCCATAAGTTTTGAAATAAATTGAAATTTTTAACTATGCTTCCATTAACGTAATTGGTTAAAGATAGAATGACGTCAAGAAATAGGTGGAAATTTAAAAAAAAATCAATAGTAATAGAATTAATAGTAGATTTGTTATTCGTAAAATGTTTTAAAGAATGTAATTATTTTATTTACTTTATAATCTTTTATTTTTGCTATATTACTGTTATTTTTACTCAAGTTTTATCATTTAAATTGCAAAGAAACGGCTAAGATACTTACTCCAGAACAAGAATAACTTATCTTGATATATCGATCTGTCTGAAAATAGCATTTAATCAATTCACATTTCAGTTAATAAGTAATATTATCCCTTCTTACTTTAAATCACCAATTCGGATCTGTAAAGGAAAAGAATTATGTACTAGAAATAGAGAAATGCATCACTTAGAATCAATTTTCATTAAAATTGTTAGTAATTAAAGATGTCTACGNCATTATTGTTGACTTACATGTTGTTATATCATTAATATTTTAATAATTATTAAAATACGGCTTTAAAAATATAATTTTGAAATAAAAAATAGGCCTATATCAGCTCTACTATTTTGGATATTAAAGCAAAGAGAATAATAATAAATTCGAATTCTATAATTCAAAAGAATTTTGTATAAAGAATTTATGTGGTAGGAATTTATCTATAGTTTATATGCATTTATGTATTGATAAGTTATGTGTATCGATATTTTACGTCTTTTTTCGTGACTGGTTACGTGTAGATGTTGAAGGATCGAATTGAATTTGTGAATAAAAGACGAATGTAATTTCACTGATCCATTCGTCTCTAAACTTATATATTACACCCATTTTTATATATTTCGTGATTTCATTTGTATGCAATTTTATGTAGGATTTCCTTAAACCAGAAAACAAACAAGATATTAGCAAAAAATAACATTTTTAAACGTAATTTTCAATTCATTTTTCCTCCCTAAATTTATTCCTGCATTTTCACAATAATATGTTTAATATTTTATGCGTATTCCAAACTATAATGTTCAAACTTTCGCTAGAATAATAATAATAGATTTAGTTATAATGCTGTTATAACTAGGTTTGTTATATCATTTATATATATATAAATCATAAATCTTAATTATTACTCCATTACTATAACATTAAATGTATTGTTTACAATTCAGAATTATAGTTTTATACTGACAAAAAGTATAAACTCCTTAAAAATATTAATTAGTTGACATTAAAATTAATAAAGTTTTTCAAAAAGGACTTTTATTAAATTCTTAATTTTTTCTTTAAAATAGTGGCTAATATAATGCTATATTCTAATTAAAATGCATAGAATATTTATTAAAATCATATAAAATCACTTTTCGTTGTATTTTTTACAGTATTTTAAATAAGAAATAATTTAAAAATTACATTATTATTTCCTTACTTTTATATTTAATAAAATATAAAAGAAAATCGAATAAATTATTCATTTAAAAATTCTTTTCAGAGTTTAATTATGTTAACACTTCATAATTAATTTAAATTTGATTGTAAAATAATACAACATTCTTAAAGAATTATAAAAATTTAACACATTAATAATTTAAAACTTTAAATGAATTATATAACACCGTTCAAAAATTAATTGATGAAAAATAAAGTTATAAATTCAATATAATTTTAAGAGAGAGAAAATATAAAATAATGAAAATAGATTATAAAAAATTTATCAAGCTTACCTTAAGTAATTTATATTTTTTTAAAGTATAATTTTACAAATAATTTAAAAAGAATGATATAAAATGTAGAAGAAATTATAAATTTAACAAGATGAGAACTTATAAAAATCCATTTTAAAGTAAATAATAATTATGATTTAAAAAGTTATAATGTTTTTATTCAACAGAATTTGTCAATAAAACAGATTTTAAGATGATTTTAACACGTTTAAGACGATCATTTTAAGAATTAACTTACAATTAGTTTAAAATAAAAAATTTTTAAAGAAAATCTTTAAAAAAACCCATTGTCATGATATATTTTTAGCTATTCGTATCATAAATTTAGAATAAGAAATTTCCCTCTGGGCCTCAATGCATTACTATACACACCTTACAAGTCACCATATCTTTAAACGTGCGATACATATAAAACAATCCAAAAAATGTTATTATAATCTACAGTTTAATATTTTAAAAATAAATTACATTTAAATTGATCGCATTTATTATAAAGAATTATCTTTAAAATAAAAAAATAAAAAAATTTAAATTTTCATGTCTCATCTAATTAATGGGTTAAAAATATTAAGTTTAACAAATTATTTTGAGAAAAAAATTAGATAAGGTAAATTTTATTTTAAACTTATTGTTATTATTATTTTATTAAAGGTAACTTATATTCCTTTTAAAAATCATTTTTTCAAAAAAATATTTCCTCAAAAATTGATGAAAACTTCATGGGTTAATTCTACAGAAATAACCACCGTTTTTTTTTTGCCTGGACCGCATTTAATCAGAGATTTTTAAAAGGAATATAAAGAAAAAAAACCGCACCATTGATATATACATAAAGGTAACTTATTTGTTTGATAAGATAATTATATTTTTCATATTCTTTATTTGTTTAAAATATTTTTTCTTCTATCAATCCTGATGACCTTAAATGAACTTTAGTAAATTTTTTGAAATTGTCACTAGAGGGAGCCACTTAGCCTCCTACAAAAGGTTTATACCCTATATCTTGAAGATTGACAGTTGAATGTGACCAGTTGGTCATGGCTCGTTCTTTGATCCTGTTCATCTTACTTGCGGCAATTGTAATTGCCGTCGTTTCCTGCAAAGAGGTGAGCTGGAAAATTATTAAATTATTTTTAAAAAATAAGTAAATTTTATGTTTATTTTAAATTTTTTTCAAATATATTTTTTTCAATTTATCAATAAATATATATATACTTTATATGTTTTGCTTAAGTGCATCCTTTAATTGATCTTCTGTACAGCATCTAGTTAAATTGATTACTCTTTTTTCTTAAAAATAATTTTAAAAAGTTAAGCTAAATTCCAAGTAGCATTTTATAAATTTTTTAAAGCAATTTTTAATATTATAAGTGAAATAATTTTCCGTAAAATTATAAAGAAAAAATCTGGTTAGAAGGACGTTAGAAAAAATTCCGATTAATTGATCTTCCATGTTGGATTGACTAACATGAATTGCTCGTATTTACTCAGGAGGAATTGTAAGCTATAAAAACTTTTCTTAATAGCTACCTGCACTTGGAAGTTGCTAAGTTTTAGTCGTAAATGTTCTCGTAAACGCGTTTAAAATTGCCTATTTATATGATACAATTTTGCTAAATATGTTTTAAAGAACATTATATAAATAAACAAATATTGTATTTTATAAACATAATTTGCTTTTAAAAGTAATTCTAATACTTAATCGATCATTAAGTAAAATCGATAAATCGATAAAACTGATTTACAAACTCGAGATTGATCACCGAAGCAATTTATCTTTACGTGTTGCATTTAAAAATGGCATTAAGAAAGTATCTAAAGAAATTTTTCTTCGCATTTTTGTATACTTTAATAATTTAAATTATTTTTTAAATCGTTATCCAACGAAAATATAATTTTCTCATGGAATAATTAATAAAATGCCAATAATTTTATAGAAGTAATTAATAAATAACACGATAAAAATACTAAATTATTTAAAAGTAAATCCGTTCCTAATTATAATTAATTTTATGATATAAGGATAATTTATTTTAATTATTGAAATTTTATTAAGAATTTTAAAATATTTTAAAAAAATCAATTCTTACAATATGTTTTTAATCTTATTATTATCATTGTTTTTATTTTTACTTTACTCGAGTTTCTAGAATTATTTTCTTCTTCCTTTTCGTATCTTCTAATGCAGGAGTTACTTTGAACATTTTTTTTTTCTAACGTAATGAATAGAAGAACATTTTCATCGATTTTTTTCTGTTTTAGTTCCTTACAGAATAAAATAAATTCTCAAGTAAAAAAAATAATTTGTAATTTTTTTTCTACTAATCTTCAAAACTAATTCTGAAAAGTTTTAAAAGATGCATAACGTTTTATTCCTTTTAACGTAACCGGAAACATCTAAAAGCTAATCTCTTAGCATACTGAATATATAATTTTAAAAAAAGCATATCTAATGCTTCAAAACTAATTATCTTCCTAGAGCATGTGTTAGATCTATTTGGTACAAAGAATGAACTATTCAGGCAAACAAACCTTTGACTTATTCATGTCAGAATGAATTGCACCCCAGGCACTTCCTCTCCTTATTTTATAGATAATGAGCAATAAGAAAATTGACATAAAAAGTATATACTGTATATATGTTAATTTTAACCTAAAAAAACATTTTCAAATATTAAAAGATTATTAATCCAGTTTCTATTACAAAAAAATTTAAAAATGTTTAATCTTTCCAACTAGTTAAATGCTGTATTAAGTCATGAATGTTTTCTGCATAAGAAGTCTATAAAGTTGTTTAATTTTGCATTTTCTTTCTTGTTTGTTTTTTTAAACTAGAAATGTTAGCATTAAATGCAAGAAATCAATCCAAGTCAGATAGTTAATCAAGGCAATCAGACAACGTCGTTTGTCTTTCGAGTTGATTGGATTTGGCAAATGCTATTTCCACTAGAGAAACAACCAATAAATTTAATTCTTTTGCATGGTTGCTATTCATCTTAACAAGCAAAAACCATCAAGCTTCCAAAATATCGAACTTATCCTTCTCTCTCTCTGTCTCTCTCTATAAAAAAACCCCACTAAATAACGCATATTGTTTAGTGCATTTTGTTACAGAATAGCATCTTATCATTCTATGTAGCAGACACTATTGCCTTCTGGCTAATATCCCAGACAATCGGCTTCATTGATGAACCGGTTCTGAAGCAGAAGGATGTGAATGGAATGGTTGCAGGTGCAGAACTTGTTCTCTTATAAAGTAGGACAAGCTAAAGACAAATTCTTTTTTAAACGGAAATTGTTACTTTGCTTCGTTATAATATTATAAAACACTATTATTCCTCTAGAATAAACCTTTTTTTTATATTGTTATTATCATTATCTTTATACAATCTTCTTGTGAATAATAATGGTTTTATTGAACAGATGTTGCCGAAAAAGGATGTTTTTCATAAGCGATTTTATTATCAAAATCTAAACAAATTTAATCACTTAAAGATTTAATTGGACCCCAAAAAAATTTTAATGTTTAGTAATATTTTAGAATTAATTTTATTTGTAAAGCTGTTAAGTAGACTACATTTATATCCATTTTAATTATAAAACATCTATAGAAGTCTGCATGTTAGATTAAATTTTGTGATAAATGATAGTTCGACCTCTTGTTAGATATCTGTTAATTTAGAAGGCCACCTTTTTTATTCTCTTTTTAAATATCAGCACTCTTTCGACACAATTGAAGTGTAATATCTTCTTACTAGGAACTGTTTGTTAGAAGAGATAAAATATTTCCTCGGGTGGAATAATAGAAAGAGATCTAGAAAAGAAAAGAACGTCTAGATTTAACTGGAAAGTTTCCGGAAATAGAAAGCTCCATCGTATTATTTATCGCGGAAACAATCCGGAAAATTGCCTTATTTCTCTTCTATCAGTTGACTATTCTTTCGGAAAACAACCCTCGTGAAAAAAAAACTATATTTATATTATTTATTATTAATTTTCTATTTATAAATTGTAAAAGTTTAAGACTATGTTGAATAACTATGGCGAAAATGAAAATATATTTAAAAATCATTATAAAATTTAAAAAATTACTATAAATGTAAATATTAATGCGTAATTGGTTATCTTGGAATGAAATTTAACCAATAAATAAATTTAGAAAAAATTGTAATTAACATTAACCAATCAATCAATCATTAGTAAAATACGATTGAATGATTGGTTAATGTTAATTAACTATTTTGAAGTAACAACCAATAAGCTTATTTAATTAAGCTTTTAAAATTTGATTGGATATGTTTTTGAATTATTTCAAAAAAATATGATTTTATTGGTTAAACTGTACAGAATTGCTGTAACAATAACAGGTGTTTTAAATGAAACTTTTTATGTTTATGATATAAAAATAATAAAAATTTAAAACAGTTATAAAAATAAAATATTTAATTTTATAATATTAGGCAAATATTAATATTTTTTATATCGTTTGATATATAATATATAAAATGTATTAAAATAAGCGTTGTACTGTACAGTACTACACAAAATAAATAATCACTGATTAACACAGTATAAATTAAAGAAAATAATAATAATAATAAAGTTTATCTTTTAAAATATTAACAAATTTAAATATAAATTATTTTTCAGATAAAAAGAAACAAACATAAAACAAAGGCATCAATAAGAGCTGGTTTGATTGAAAAAAGCGAAAGTAAACACATTCATCAACAGGTAAAAATATTTAATTTATGTTTAGATTTTCTATATTAAAATGTTAAATGTTAAATATTTTATTTATTTATTTATTTAGAAGTTAAAAAATGAAAATTTTATGAAACATAAATCAGAAAAACATCAGAGGAAGCAGGATACTAACAAACGCAATCACCCCTTATATCACAGTAAGTAAATCAGAGAAGCAGGATACTAGCAGACAATCTCATCTGGTTTTTCTAGTTTTTTTTTAATGCTCGCATATAAATTTTTTTATGGATTCCTTTTTTTTTTATTTTTAGTGGCGAAACAATCCATAAGAGAAGATATCGAAGATATTGCAGGGAAATATAAACCAATGCATACTTTCTTGAGATCTTTACCTACGAGGAAACAACCAAGACGTAAATATGAGAATAGAAAAGTTAAAAAAGTTCAGAAAAAGAAAAGACAACAAAATAAAAGAAAAATTGAGTGGTAGTCGCATATATAAGAGTTAAGGTTATGGTGTATAATATCAAAAAAAAAAAAAATTAAAAATCATACGCATATTTTCATCATTAGTTAATTCTGTATTACGTAAACGGCAATTTATATAATGTTCATTATTTTTACATAATTAAATATTTAAGCTATAGATTATATTAACAGTAGTTTATTCGGCAATTTAACTGTTTATTTGTTTTGTCTTTCATATTTTTTTTAAAAATTCATATATAATCGATGAAACGATTTTCTGTTTCGTTTACTGTACAGTACGTATTGTAATGTACTGTACTGTACCTCTTTAGTGATTTCTATAGAAATATTTACTATATAAATACCTTGTAGGTAGCATTTTTGTTTTTTTTTTTTTAAATAAAAATTTATAAATGTTTTTTTCATCTATTATCCTATCTTAAATGATTTCGAGTAATTCGTATTGTTCTTATGAATTAAACTCTTAAATAAATATATTAATTGAATTTATGATGAGAATTCTGTATGCATATATCAATTAATTAAAACTTAATATTATAAATTAATGAATAATTAATTATATAAATGTTCTATAAATTTAATAAAAGATAGTTGTTAAATTATAAATGTCGTTATATCTTGAAATGATTGTTATATTGATATTTTTTTCTTTTTGTTTTTTATTAAGAAAATTTACTTTCTGAAATAAAAATAAATAAAATTAATTTAAACACATTAAATATTGAATTTAAAATAATTAAGGCGTGAAAACATTACAATTTTATTAAATCATCTTATTTCGCGACATAACAAATAAATATAAACGTATGTAATTTAATTGAAAAAAACGTCTAAAAAGTAAAATTATTTTTAAATTAAATTTACATTCGATTTCTATATTATTGTATTACATAGTTTAATTTATAAAATAACATTCATTACAATAATCATCATACACTTGTTGAAAATATAATTTCTGCTGTTTAAAACACAATTATTAAAGCTTATTAATAAATTATTGTTAAGTAGGGCCTAAATGTTAATTTTTTATTTTTAAAGATTATTTATCTAATTCTTTAATTATAGTTTAACGTGTCAAATGTATGTTGGAAAGAAATTTGTATTCAAGATAAACTGTAAATGAATAAAATTTCAAATTAAAGAGATGAATATGCAAACAAAACATTATTTACGTTCAAAATCATAAATAATAGCGTTTTTTATTCAGACACGAATTTACGACAAGTTATTATTTATACTGTTATTTACACATTTATTTATTGGATAAAGCATTTTTCAGTGGAAATAACCAGAAAAAAATAAATTGGAAAAATAACGATACTTCCATCATTTTTTATTTCTCGAAAATATCATTATTACAGCAATATAACACTAGTCAGTTATCAATATGACATTTGAATATCCAACCAATATTCAAACAAATATCGTTAAAATATTTTTTTAAAGTGTTTTTTTAATTTATTGTCATTTATTTTCTAACAACTATATTAATTTTAATATTTTAATTTATATATTTTTAGTTCCGCTTGCTTAAAAAACAATAATTACTAATGAAAATTGTCTTGTATGAAGCAAATATTGATTTAACTTTTAAGTCCATAAATTTCAAATTTTTGCGAATTAATATTTATTTTAAATGTTAAACAAAACATAATTTTCGCCTAAATATTCCTTATAAATATGCAATTACTTGATATTACTTAAATAAGAATTATTTAATTAATTTATTCGTTAATTATAGGCCTATATTATTTTAAAAATTAATCTGGCACGCTTATTTCTGCTTTTTCTCTCCTCCCTTTGTTTAATTAAATGAAATTATTAATGAAAGTACAGTACATACTATATTTACAAATTAATAGAATACATGAATATTTTAAAATATAAATCGTGTAAATTAGTTAATTTTTATAAACTAATCTAGTAAAATATAGAAGACAAACTACGTACTGTACACTTATTAATGCATATTATTTTGAGTTAGGAATATCTTAAATGTAAAATATAATGAAGTGATACTTGAAAAAGATCTGTAAATATTTATTTAACCAAAAAAATATTAATTAATATTATAATAAAGAACAAGAAAAAAAATATTACTTTTCAACTGTTCCTTAATTAAGTTATGATTAGAACATTGAAATTAATTAATTTGTGTTTTTATAATCCTAGACAAAAATATGTCAACTTTCAATCGATATTCAAATATGAATATTGCGTATTACAAAAGATTTCTATCTGTAACACATGGTTTCTTTCCCAAAGTGTAATACGCGTACCCCAGAGGCACGCGAAAGGTCTTCATGAGTACAACAGAAGGTAATTTTAGGCTCTGTACTGTACTGCACTGTACAATAAGTACAGTGCACTGACAAAGAAGGGAATACTGGTTACTTACAAACATTTAAGAAGGGGGAATGCTCTAATATAATAATTTTCTTATCTTTTATACTCCTTTGTTACAGTGAATGAATTTCATGTTTTCTTTACGACGTGTATTTAGGCAAAATTCAAATTAACCAATGAGAGTATAAAAAAGTACAAATAGTTAATCACGTGACGGCGTTTAAACTTACTTTTAAGCACTTAAATTGCTGATCAGCAAATTCGAATATTTAATTCCTGCGTATGAATAAGAAATAAATATTCGACTTTTCTCTAACTAGTCATTTTAAACGTTTGAGTAAGTTTGAATATTATTTTATTTTATTCACGAAGCGGATTTTTAAATAAGAGCCTGGCATTTTATGTCATTTACTTATATTTGAACTTAAAAAAATTTGATCCATTGTTTAGTAAATTATTATTAAGCTCGTTATATCATTGCAGTGATTAAATAAATGAAATTCAAAACTAATTATCAAGAAATGTTACATAAATTTTATTAATGAATTTTAACTTATTTAGGAATTAATTATAAATATAAAACATAAACAGAAACATACATAAAAGAATACATTGTAGACAAACAAATTTATATTGATTTCTATATTTTATTTATGAAATATTTTAAAATTTCTCTCATTTATTTGTTCTAAAAATCGTTTTTACAAACGAAAAAGACATAAAAGTAGAATATCCACTAAGGCTACNTTAAAAGAGAAAAAAAAACACATTCCTGCTTATAGCATATGTAGGAATTCATGATAAAAATTAAATAAACTTAATTATAATTACATTCCTTTAATTAATTTACTGTAATTATTTTTAAATTTACGATATATATTTGAATATGAACTGTTATATTACTTACCAAAGTGTATACAGCACAAGCATATGCAGATTTTTTTGTCGAATTACAACCGAAAAAATAGATAGGCTCCATTCCTGAACGAGCAGTTATGATATTAACTCTTGTTTTGCTTATATCATGTGTTACAGTATATATTTATTGCAGCTTATCTTATCTAATTTGTGAACTTAGCACATAAACAAATCATAGGATACTAAAAACCTACACAAAATTAAATTATTTCGCATCAAGCTTAATACATATGATACCAAATTTATGAATAAGATTATATTTTTCTACTTAAATTTCATAAATAACAATGTTTAAACATAGTTTTAAGAGAAAGTGATTAAAATGTATGTTATTTATGCAAATACATCCATTCCCAGAAGCATAAAACACTCTTATTCATCTTTATCAAAATTTTATGAAGTATTTTAAATGTGAAAATACTTGTGCTGAATATAAAACTCCGACAATCTTATTACCAAAATATAATTTAGGAAAGAAATATTTGAAAAGTCAAATTTAAAAAAAATCCCCAATTTGTGAAAATAATAGTAAAATATTATAAAATAAGTCCTGTTTAAATAATCTCTCTTAGTCCCCAAGGAATAGAAGCGATTTTCAGCATTTTAAGCTTCGTTCAATTAGATAAATGATCCACTTCCAAAAAACGATAACATCACTTCCACAATAGGAAATGCAATCGGAATTTTAATGATGGCACAGGATTAATATCGCTTGTTATAATTATACGTATTTATATTTATACGAAAGACGAATTATTTGTATTAAATTGGGTATTTTATTATATTAATAATTACACATTAAAAAACGATATTTATTCGAAAATATAAGGTTTATTATTTATTAATCGGTAACTCGTTTACAATGTTTGGCTTGAGCAATTTTAAGTTCCCTCGAAGTTATGAAAATAATAATAACATTTGAGTTATCTTTAGGCAAAATCCAAAATAAAAAAATAATCAGTTTTAATTATATAATTACAAACAGAATATTCAAAAATTAATTTATAGTTTTTAAGATAACTATGCAGAGTTAGCCTACTGCAGAACTTTTAAATGAATTTATCAGAATTTTTGGAAGCTTTTAATTGTTATTCGAAGAACAGCATAAAGATTTCCACAAAGAAGATTATTTGAATATTCTGATTTCAGAAATTATCGAATTCACTCAATCTAAAATCGTGAAAAATTTTAAAGAGTTTAGAGATAGGGCTAACATGAATAATTATTAAACCTTAAACTGGCCTATTTCGCACGTCATTATAAAAGAAATATGTTATATAGTTTCAAAATAAGTGCAGACTATAAACAGAGTGACAGTGATGTACAGTTTACTGAAGACTGAAATGAATCTAAGGGCTTACAAAATAAAATTACCTCTTTCTATAACCACGATGAAGAAAAAACACTACAATTGGGCCAAATGATATATTACGCGAACAATTTATGATTAAAAAAAATAGTTTTTTTACTGAAAAATACCACTTTTAAGTACAGTACAGTACGAACAGTAAAATGGGTTTCGTCTTGTGCAATGTAAGACAAAAAATAACAGCGTTGCATGGAAGATGATTTACGAGACTAATGGATAATGTAATAAAATCTAGATCTTACTATATTATCCATTCCTTCAGGTCACAAATATTTCAAAATTTTTTTTAATTAAGTGAAATGTACTGTACAGTACAGTATATTTGCTTAACCTGACTCCAATGTGTTGAACCGATTCAGAAATTCATGGTGTATAGATTCGATTGAAAACTTGTGGACTGTTCTGAAAAAGAAAATTACAGAAATTGCCCAATAACAAGGACTTAATAGAGCTGAGACACCATATAGTAGATGTAGGCATTCTTAAAACAGTCATTGCATCCATTCCAAGACAATGTGTAACAGTTATTAAGGCTTAGGTAATCAAATATTACACTTAGAGTTGAAAATTATACGAAAGACAATGGTAATCTTTTCTAATCTTGTATTATTTTGTACGCTTTGTTATCCTCAAATTTATAACGATAGAAATAATCCGCAGGAATAGACGACAAAATTCATAAATAAATTTTATTTTTTAATACTAATTACTGGTACTATAAGTTTTGGTTCCCCGCCTTTATCAAAATAAAGATGTAAATTACTACAGTTAAGCATTTATTTATTGGATTTATTAAAAAAAACAGCTGGAAAATGGAATATCTCACTAACCATTTCCATATGTTTGAGTAGGTAGAAGTTCATATTTCTCATTAATATAATGGAGGAGTTTTATATAATATTGAAATTTTCAAAGTAAAAATAAGTAAAACTTCGTAAATATTCGAATTTCTATTAATGNTTTCTAGAATTATTTTCTTCTTCCTTTTCGTATCTTCTAATGCAGGAGTTACTTTGAACATTTTTTTTTTCTAACGTAATGAATAGAAGAACATTTTCATCGATTTTTTTCTGTTTTAGTTCCTTACAGAATAAAATAAATTCTCAAGTAAAAAAAATAATTTGTAATTTTTTTTCTACTAATCTTCAAAACTAATTCTGAAAAGTTTTAAAAGATGCATAACGTTTTATTCCTTTTAACGTAACCGGAAACATCTAAAAGCTAATCTCTTAGCATACTGAATATATAATTTTAAAAAAAGCATATCTAATGCTTCAAAACTAATTATCTTCCTAGAGCATGTGTTAGATCTATTTGGTACAAAGAATGAACTATTCAGGCAAACAAACCTTTGACTTATTCATGTCAGAATGAATTGCACCCCAGGCACTTCCTCTCCTTATTTTATAGATAATGAGCAATAAGAAAATTGACATAAAAAGTATATACTGTATATATGTTAATTTTAACCTAAAAAAACATTTTCAAATATTAAAAGATTATTAATCCAGTTTCTATTAAAAAAAATTTAAAAATGTTTAATCTTTCCAACTAGTTAAATGCTGTATTAAGTCATGAATGTTTTCTGCATAAGAAGTCTATAAAGTTGTTTAATTTTGCATTTTCTTTCTTGTTTGTTTTTTTAAACTAGAAATGTTAGCATTAAATGCAAGAAATCAATCCAAGTCAGATAGTTAATCAAGGCAATCAGACAAAGTCGTTTGTCTTTCGAGTTGATTGGATTTGGCAAATGCTATTTCCACTAGAGAAACAACCAATAAATTTAATTCTTTTGCATGGTTGCTATTCATCTTAACAAGCAAAAAACATCAAGCTTCCAAAAATATCGAACTTATCCTTCTCTCTCTCTGTCTCTCTCTATAAAAAACCCCACTAAATAACGCATATTGTTTAGTGCATTTTGTTACAGAATAGCATCTTATCATTCTATGTAGCAGACACTATTGCCTTCTGGCTAATATCCCAGACAATCGGCTTCATTGATGAACCGGTTCTGAAGCAGAAGGATGTGAATGGAATGGTTGCAGGTGCAGAACTTGTTCTCTTATAAAGTAGGACAAGCTAAAGACAAATTCTTTTTTAAACGGAAATTGTTACTTTGCTTCGTTATAATATTAAAAAACACTATTATTCCTCTAGAATAAACCCTTTTTTTATATTATTATTATCATTATCTTTATACAATCTTCTTGTGAATAATAATGGTTTTATTGAACAGATGTTGCCGAAAAAGGATGTTTTTCATAAGCGATTTTATTATCAAAATCTAAACAAATTTAACCACTTAAGGATTTAATTGGACCCCAAAAAATTTTAATGTTTAATAATATTTTAGAATTAATTTTATTTGTAAAGCTGATAAGTAGACTACATTTATATCCATTTTAATTATAAAACATCTATAGAAGTCTGCATGTTAGATTAAATTTTGTGATAAATGATAGTTCGACCTCTTGTTAGATATCTGTTAATTTAGAAGGCCACCTTTTTTATTCTCTTTTTAAATATCAGCACTCTTTCGACACAATTGAAGTGTAATATCTTCTTACTAGGAACTGTTTGTTAGAAGAGATAAAATATTTCCTCGGGTGGAATAATAGAAAGAGATCTAGAAAAGAAAAGAACGTCTAGATTTAACTGGAAAGTTTCCGGAAATAGAAAGCTCCATCGTATTATTTATCGCGGAAACAATCCGGAAAATTGCCTTATTTCTCTTCTATCAGTTGACTATTCTTTCGGAAAACAACCCTCGTGAAAAAAAAACTATATTTATATTATTTATTATTAATTTTCTATTTATAAATTGTAAAAGTTTAAGACTATGTTGAATAACTATGGCGAAAATGAAAATATATTTAAAAATCATTATAAAATTTAAAAAATTACTATAAATGTAAATATTAATGCGTAATTGGTTATCTTGGAATGAAATTTAACCAATAAATAAATTTAGAAAAAATTGTAATTAACATTAACCAATCAATCAATCATTAGTAAAATACGATTGAATGATTGGTTAATGTTAATTAACTATTTTGAAGTAACAACCAATAAGCTTATTTAATTAAGCTTTTAAAATTTGATTGGATATGTTTTTGAATTATTTCAAAAAAATATGATTTTATTGGTTAAACTGTACAGAATTGCTGTAACAATAACAGGTGTTTTAAATGAAACTTTTTATGTTTATGATATAAAAATAATAAAAATTTAAAACAGTTATAAAAATAAAATATTTAATTTTATAATATTAGGCAAATATTAATATTTTTTATATCGTTTGATATATAATATATAAAATGTATTAAAATAAGCGTTGTACTGTACAGTACTACACAAAATAAATAATCACTGATTAACACAGTATAAATTAAAGAAAATAATAATAATAATAAAGTTTATCTTTTAAAATATTAACAAATTTAAATATAAATTATTTTTCAGATAAAAAGAAACAAACATAAAACAAAGGCATCAATAAGAGCTGGTTTGATTGAAAAAAGCGAAAGTAAACACATTCATCAACAGGTAAAAATATTTAATTTATGTTTAGATTTTCTATATTAAAATGTTAAATGTTAAATATTTTATTTATTTATTTATTTAGAAGTTAAAAAATGAAAATTTTATGAAACATAAATCAGAAAAACATAAGAGGAAGCAGGATACTAACAAACGCAATCACCCCTTATATCACAGTAAGTAAATCAGAGAAGCAGGATACTAGCAGACAATCTCATCTGGTTTTTCTAGTTTTTTTTTAATGCTCGCATATAAATTTTTTTATGGATTCCTTTTTTTTTTATTTTTAGTGGCGAAACAATCCATAAGAGAAGATATCGAAGATATTGCAGGGAAATATAAACCAATGCATACTTTCTTGAGATCTTTACCTACGAGGAAACAACCAAGACGTAAATATGAGAATAGAAAAGTTAAAAAAGTTCAGAAAAAGAAAAGACAACAAAATAAAAGAAAAATTGAGTGGTAGTCGCATATATAAGAGTTAAGGTTATGGTGTATAATATCAAAAAAAAAAAAAATTAAAAATCATACGCATATTTTCATCATTAGTTAATTCTGTATTACGTAAACGGCAATTTATATAATGTTCATTATTTTTACATAATTAAATATTTAAGCTATAGATTATATTAACAGTAGTTTATTCGGCAATTTAACTGTTTATTTGTTTTGTCTTTCATATTTTTTTAAAAAATTCATATATAATCGATGAAGCGATTTTCTGTTTCGTTTACTGTACGTATTGTAATGTACTGTACATCTTTAGTGATTTCTATAGAAATATTTACTATATAAATACCTTGTAGGTAGCATTTTTGTTTTTTTTTTAAATAAAAATTTATAAATGTTTTTTTCATCTATTATCAGAAAAAGAAAAGACAACAAAATAAAAGAAAAATTGAGTGGTAGTCGCATATATAAGAGTTAAGGTTATGGTGTATAATATCAAAAAAAAAAAAAATTAAAAATCATACGCATATTTTCATCATTAGTTAATTCTGTATTACGTAAACGGCAATTTATATAATGTTCATTATTTTTACATAATTAAATATTTAAGCTATAGATTATATTAACAGTAGTTTATTCGGCAATTTAACTGTTTATTTGTTTTGTCTTTCATATTTTTTTAAAAAATTCATATATAATCGATGAAGCGATTTTCTGTTTCGTTTACTGTACGTATTGTAATGTACTGTACATCTTTAGTGATTTCTATAGAAATATTTACTATATAAATACCTTGTAGGTAGCATTTTTGTTTTTTTTTTAAATAAAAATTTATAAATGTTTTTTTCATCTATTATCCTATCTTAAATGATTTCGAGTAATTCGTATTGTTCTTATGAATTAAACTC